CGCTCGCGCTCGCGCTCCGGGCTGGGCGGGACCCCCGGCCCGAGTCCGCGCCCCGCGCCCTGCGCCCCGGCTTCAACAGGTCTGTGCCGCCGTCGAGACCTTCCAGCCCCGCCGTGCGTGGTGGGTTTAAAGCCCCTCTTGTCATCGCCCGCCTCACGCCCTCCCTCATCCTCATTTTTTTTTGGGGGGGGGAGAGCTTTCCCTTTGTTTTTGTGATAAGGTGCCATCCGATGGGGGGGTTGCTGCAGAATGGGGATTCGCACCGAGGCCGCTTCCATTATTTCTCCCCTCCCAAGTCAGCCCAGGTAGTAAGTGGAGAGCAGTGTGGAGGGGCGCTCCCTGGGGCGCATTGGGGTGCGTTTGGTGAGGATGTGCCTCCCTGGCAAGATGGATGGCTCGCAGCGTCCTCGCCGTGATGCAGCACAATGCAGCAGGATCACTGCCTCCCCTGGTTGTCGCCGCCGGGGCTTGGCACCGCCACTCGCCGCCTGCGGCCCCTCCCGGCCCCACCCAGGCCCCGGGCTGCCCTTGACCAGGGCCCAGAGCCGCCTCCACCTCGTCCTGCTGCTTCAGCTGGACGCGGCATCAGGTGCACTAAGGGCATCTGGGGGTGGGGGGACAAGGTCCCCTTTCTTGGGGTGACCCCCCTCCTGTCTCAGAGATAGAGGGGCCCTGCAGCACCACTGCGGGCAGAGGGAGCTGGCCTGCGGCTGCAGCCCGGAATCCAGCCCTGGATTTAGGGACCTGAACACTAGGGAGGGGCAGCTGGAGGGAGGCGTTGGTGCAGTGGGCAGTCGCCGCCGCATCGTTCTGTGGATCACCGGTAAGCTGGAAGCACAACCCAGCGATGCTCGGTTTCCTCATATGTGAAAAGTTGGTATTTACCGATTGGACCTCCGCAGCTAAGACATTATAGAGCTTAGGCTGACTTTGGACACCATTATGAGTTTTTCCCTGTAGAATGTATTTTTTTTTTAATTAAACGATTGTTCTGTTTTAATCCTAATGTCCCTGAGACATTGATAAAAATATTCGTTTTCAGTAGCTTCTCTTAAAGGCGATAGATAAAGGTATGTCATCTGCATTTGCTTTGTTTCAATTGTTTTCTGTTTCTTTAAATGAGGTACAATGACATGTTTAGATTCTTTATTAATGATAGACTGGCTCTCGGAGATGGGGTAATTCATAGCCAAGTTAGTCATAACTAGGATGGTGAAAAGCTGCTGGTATGCTTACAAGGATTGTGTGTGTGTTTATTTTGTGTATGTGACTTTAAAAACTGTGATTGAGGAAGATTGAAAAGGCAAGCCTTTTTTAAAAAAAAATAAATTTTTATTTTATACTGATATGCTTACAAAGTTCATATACGTTGTTTCTCACATCCGATCTTTCCCATCTCCTTTACCCACCTCTCTCTCGACCTATCAAATTGTGCAACCCTATGATAACCCTCCAAGCCATCCTCACCCCCTGCCCTTCCCCTTGGATCCTCATACCTGTTTTACAAGTTATCTTTCTATTTATACAATAATGGTCTTAGACAGTATTTGTCCTTATGGGACTGAGTTAGTTCACTTAGCATAATGCTGTCTAGTCCCTCCCAAGTTACGAAGTAATTTTCAAAATCATTGCTCCTGCATTCCATCGTGTGAATTCCGTCATTTCTCAATCCTTTCCATTGCGCTTGGACATTTGGGCTGTTACCATTTTCTTGCAATGGTGAATAACATTGTTCTAAACATTGGCGTACAAATTTGTACCTCCGCTCTCTTTCTGCGTACAAATCTGTACCTCAGATCTCTTTCTCTCAGGGTATAGTCCAACTAGTGGAATAGCTGGGTCATATGGAATGTTTATGTTCAGCTTTTTGAGAAAAGTCAACCGTTTTAGATGCGGCCTGGTCTGATGCCTACTATCTGGTCAGGAGGTGGTTCCTAACTTTATCTCCTTAGGCTCTTTTAGTACACATGAATTAACCTTCTAAATGCCATTTCTGTAATTCATTTATTCCATGTGGGAAAGCAAATGGAAGACATTGCAAATGTCAGCCCATATTTTTCTAAGTGTGTAAGTGAAAAGGGAAATTTCAGTGAGCTAACTGGAAGGGAAGGTCAGAGTTTCAAAGCCAAGGGCGTGTCTTTTTTTAATTGTATTATTTTTTTAATCGCCAGTGAGTCCTAGCACGGGTTGTCTGGTTTTATGTGGCTCTGCAGAATACGGTGAATATAAACTGGATCGCAGGCAGTTTTCTAGTTTTTCCAACAGGAAGCTATTAAAATAGGGAATTGATGGAATCTGACTTCACTGCTGGGTGAGTCGAATAAAATCACATTGCGCAGAGATGTTTGTGGGTAATGTTTCCCGGGATTACTCAGATATCTTGGACCATGCTGTAAGAAATAGATCCTGTGTCCGCGTCACACGAGGTTTAGCTGCTCTGATATTTACGTTCCAGGTGCCTGGGTTTGTTACCTTGTCACTCTCTAGAGTGACAAAAACTTTAATTGGAGGGAATGAGGCAGATTGGGACAGTGAGGTGACCCCTGGTTTGGTCTCCTGCACATCTCCGAGGTGAGTCTCATAACAACAACTGTGGTGATGTAGGAGCAAGCAGGAGGACCCTCCCTTCATTCTTGTAGCATTTTCTGAGCATAGACATGCAGTTGGGTAGGGTTTCCAAGAGAGTCCTTCACCAGGTAAGGGAGGGCCCCTCTGCACGTGGAAGTACTATGTTGACGTGGAATGACTTTTCCTACTCGAGAACAAACATGGATGTGATGAATGGAAATCATGCTGTGTGGTTTTTATTGAAATTGTTTTAAGGGTTTTGTTCTGAAAATATATTCTTAGAGTTTTAAAGCTGTATATAATTTTTTAATTAATATCTTTCACATGCAAGGAGACAGGTCTCCTTTAATTAATGTTGGGCCTTGACCAACATCTGCTTTCTAACTGGGCTTTAATAATGAATGTGCTTTTGGGCTTCCTTGTTGTAACCCTGGTTTGTTTATGTTGACAATGTAAACCATTCTTCTATAAGGAAATTATGGGCATGTTCTGTTGCTGTTGGAAAAGCTACTGTAAGTCTGTGGAAATGAGTACAATCTCTCATGAGTTTATATTTTAAATTTTTGGGTTTTCCCTCAAAACTCCGATTGCTTGTTTGTTTTTTGCAAAGACCTGTCTTAATATTCTGACTTTTTTCCATTAAGGAAACTTCTGTCACGGAGTTTAAGTAGTTCAGTAATAACCCACTTTGATGGGTTGAACTAAGCTGTTGCATTTATTGGGATTGACAAGTTGGTTAGGGTCCTTTCGAAAATACTCCTGTAGTTGTAAAATATTCCCGTCCTCCAGGGGAAGAAGGCACTGACTTTGTCTCTGCAGAACCGGAACCAGGAAGCTAACCCCTGAGCCAAGGTTGCCTCTGCACCAGCTGCCCTGTCTGGCACCAGGCTCTCTGTGGTCAGCGGTTTCTCCCTGCGTAGACATTGGCAGGGAGTGCTGGTGGATTAGTGGATAGGGAGTTGTGATGCCAACTCAAAAGCAGGTGGTTTGAATCTACCAGCTGCTCCACAGGGAAGAGATGGACAGTCTCCTCATTTAGGATTTACAGCCTCTGAAAGACCGCTGGAGGGTCAGCTGGGAGAAAGACTTTGGGGTTCTGGTGGTGTGGGTGTTTTTTTTTTAATATTTATCTCCTCCTGTCTGTTGTTTAAAAATTATTATCATGGTGAAAATGTACACTGGCAAAACCTTCACTAACACAGCTTCTAAATTTACGACTCACTTTCCACATTGGTTACATTTTCCATAGTTTACTTGGCTGCACAATCAACACTCTTGGTACCAGCAGCCAGGACAAGAGACAAATTGCTGTCAGGGACCTTTCCAGAGTACTGAAGTGCAACGACATCGGGCTGGAGACGAAGGTGTGCCTGATCCAGACCATGGTCTTTGCAATTGCTTGCTACGTTTCAGAGAGCTGGACAATGACTAGAGATGATAGAAAGAAAATTGATGCCTTTGAGCTGTGATGCTGGAGAAGAGTGTTGAATATACCATGGACTGCCAGGAGAACAAACAGGTTCATCCTGGAGAGGGTGAAAGCAGGCTGCTCCTTGGAGACACGGATTCTGAAGCTTTGTCTGACATACTTTGGACATGTTAAAAGGAAGGACTGATCCTTGGAGAGGAGCATTATGTTTGGGAGGGTGAAGAGACAGTGCAAGAAAGGAAGACCCTCGATGAGATTAATTGATTCAGTCACTGGGATAATGACGGTAGGTGTCTCAGAGACAATAAGCTTGGCATAGGATAAAGCAGGCTTTTGTACAGAGGGTCACTATGAATCACATATGAATTGATGGCACATAACAACTATTATCTCTGTCTTTCCTCTCTTCCCCTCCAGTATTCCTCCACCATTAACATAAACCCAGTGCCCACTCCATCTTTTACTAAAGGTTGTTTTTGTTAAATAATTAGTAGATTCAAATAATGTTTTTGAAGTCTTGTCAGAAAATCAAGACCCGTGCACTATCACCTCGTTCACAAGGGTGGGTTTTTTTGGTCTCATAACCAGTCCTGCCTGAAACAGCCAAAGTCTGTGTTTGTCATTGCCTTGTTTTTCTCTTTGGTTCATCCTTTTTTAAAAAATTTATTTTTATATATTTTTGAACTTTGTATAAATGAAACAATACTTTTATATTTACTTTTTATTTGAGATTTCCCTCCTGTTGCTGAGGTTATAGACCTTTCTATTGTCATTGACCATGTGGATTTATTCTTTTAAAAAGGACTTGTTCAACCTTTGGATCCATTTTATCTCGCATTATTTTCTTAATTGGTCTGTTGAAACTCTTTATGTATATTGCATTCTGATATTTTGAGGATTGTGGGTAGAGTCATGAGCGGTTTTTTGTCCTTTGTTACTGGAAAAAAGAATTCCTTAGTTGGATAAGAAAATGGATTTTGGAAATCATATTGGTCTGGGCTTGGTTGGGCCAGAGGAAGGTACTGGCTTGGACTGGTTAGTTACCCTTTGAGCTATAGATGCCTCATCCGTGATACAGGAGCATTGATTATAGAAAGGCTTCAGGCCTTTTGTTCATAGGACCACTGTGAGTCATGCTCGACTTGAAGGCAGTCAACAAAAACAGCAGCAATACTTACTTCCTCAAGCGTTTGTTATGCTGTTGCAGTACCATGCACACAGAGAGGGAAGTAATTTTTTTTTAACTTTATTACTGTGTTTATGTGTCGGGTCTGATTGGTACAGAAAAATTGTCCCTCCTCCAGCAGAGCATCTGGTGGATTTGAACTGTGATCCTCTGGGATTGCAGTATAACTTCTTGCCAATAGGCCACCAGAGCTCCCTTGAGAAGGTCGTCTTTTATTCACAGTTCTACTTCTCTGGACTGCCTGGGCTCTCTGGGCCACTGGCTCGCCCCTTTGGGATACTTTTCAAAAATGTCCTTAATCTTTTTTGTCTTAGAAGAGCTTAAACAGCTTAGACTAATTTTTCTTTTTTTAAAAAACCATGCAACTCTGGTGGTCCTGTGGCTAAAGTATTCACTTGCTAATTAAGATTGTTTTGAGCCA